TTTGGGAATTTTGGGAATTTTGGGGGGGATTTTGGGGATTTTTTGGAGTTTTTTGGGGGGTTTTTTGGGGGATTTTTTGCAGAATTTTGGGGGTTTTTTGGGAATTTTGGGGGGATTTTTTGGGGATTTTTGGGGGTTTTTTGGGGGGATTTTTGGGGGATTTTTTGCAGAATTTTGGGGATTTTTTTGGGAATTTTTTGGGGGTTTTTTGGGAATTTTTGGGGTTTTTTTGGGGATTTTTTGCGATTTTTTTTTTATTTTTGGGGGGAATTTTTGGGGATTTTTTGGGAATTTTTTGGGATTTTTTGGGGAATTTTGGGGATTTTTTGGGGACTTTGGGGGATTTTTTGGGAATTTTGGGGGGATTTTTTGGGGGGGATTTTGGGGATTTTTTGGGGGGATTCTTGGGGATTTTTTGCAGAATTTTTGGGGATTTTTTGGGGGGGATTTTGGGGTTTTTTTGGGTTTTTTTGGGAATTTTGGGGGGATTTTTTTGGGGATTTTTTGGGGGATTTTGGGGGTTTTTTTTGGATTTTTTGGGATTTTTTGGGCAATTTTGGGGGGAGTTTTTGGGGTTTTTTGGGGTTTTTTTGGGATTTTTTTGGGGGGGATTTTGGGGTTTTTTTGGGGTTTTTTTGGGGATTTTTGGGGATTTTTTTGGAATTTTGGGGGGATTTTTTGGGGATTTTTGGGGGGGATTTTGGGGATTTTTCGGGATTTTTTGGGATTTTTGGGGGGATTTTTTGGGGATTTTTGGGGGGTTTTTTTTGGATTTTTTGGGATTTTTTGGGGGGAATTTTGGGGTTTTTTTTTAATTTTTTGGGAATTTTTTGGGATTTTTTTGGGAATTTTGGGGGGAGTTTTTGGGGTTTTTGGGGGATTTTTTTTGATTTTTGGGGATATTTGGGGGAATTTTGGGGATTTTTGGGGTTTTGGGCCACTCCAGACCCCCCAAAAATTCCCAAAAAATTCCCAAAAAATTCCCAAAAAATTCCAAAATTCCCAAAAAATCCCTAAAAATTCCATTCTTTAAGAAAAGCATCCCAAAATCTGGATTTGGGTGGGAAAAATCAGGAAAAATTAGGGTTTTTTGGGCGTTTTGGGCCTTTCCAGACCCCAAAAAAATCCCAAAAAATCCCCAAAAAATTCCCAAAAAATTCCCAAACAATTCCCAACCCTCTGGAATTCCTCAGGCTGCGAGATGAACGTGCACAAATGCTGCGTCCAGTTGGAATTTGGGAAAAATCCGGAAAAATTGGGGAAAAAATGGGGTTTTTTGGGTTTTGGGCCACTCCAGACCCCCCAAAAAATCCCAAAAAATTCCCAAAAAATTCCCAAAAAATTCCAAAATTCCCAAAAATCCCTAAAAATTCCATTTTGTGAGAAAAACATCTCAAAATCCAGATTTGGGTGGGAAAAATCAGGAAAAATTGGGGGTTTTTGGGCATTTTGGGCCTTTCCAGACCCCAAAAAAATCCCAAAAAATCCCAAAAAATTCCAAAAAAATCCAAAAAAATTCCAAAAAATCCCAAAAAATTCCCAAAAATTCCCAAACAATTCCCAACCCTCTGGAATTCCTCAGGCTGCGAGATGAACGTGCACAAACGCTGCGTCCAGTTGGAATTTGGGGAAAAATGGGGAAAAAATGGGGAAAAAATGGGGTTTTTTGGGTTTGGGGCCACTCCAGACCCCCCAAAAATTCCCAAAAAATTCCCAAAAATTCCCAAAAAATTCCCAAATTCCCTAAAAATTCCATTCTGCAAGAAAAACATCCCAAAACCCGGATTTGGGGGCGATTTGGGGGGGAAAAATCGGGGAAAATTGGGGTTTTTTTGGGCATTTTGGGCCTTTCCAGACCCCAAAAAAATCCCAAAAAATCCCAAAAAATTCCCAAAAATTCCCAAAAAATTCCCAACAATTCCCAACCCTCTGGAATTCCTCAGGCTGCGAGATGAACGTGCACAAACGCTGCGTTCAGTTGGAATTTGGGGAAAAATCCGGAAAAATTGGGGTTTTTTGGGCATTTTGGGCCTTTCCAGACCCCAAAAAAATCCCAAAAAATTCCCAAAAAATTCCCAAAAAATCCCTAAAAATTCCATTTTGTGAGAAAAACATCTCAAAATCCAGATTTGGGTGGGAAAAATCAGGGAAAATTGGGTTTTTATGGGGAAAAATTG